TAACTAGCACAGTCTACCATTAACCCAGTACAGGCTCACTGTCTGACCAGCTTAAGCCAGATCACTAGCACAGTCTACCATTAACCTAGTGCAGTATTACTGTCTGGCCAGCTTAAGCCAGATAACTAGCACAGTCTACCATTAACCCAGTACAGGCTTACTGTCTGGCCAGCTTAGCCCAGATCACTAGTACAGTCTACCATTAACCTAGTGCAGGATTATTGTCTGGCCAGCTTAAGCCAGATAACTAGCACAGTCTACCATCAACCTAGTTCAGGCTTACTGTCTGGCCAGCTTAACCCAGATCACTAGTACAGTCTACCATTAACCTAGTGCAGGATTATTGTCTGGCCAGCTTAAGCCAGATAACTAGCACAGTCTACCATCAACCTAGTGTAGGCTTATTGTCTGGTCAGCTGAACCTAGATCATTACCACATTCTACCATTAACCCAGTACAGGTTTAACATGAAAAATAGCTTCCAATAGAGTAACAACTGAAGATAAAACAAGACATTTATATAATACCATAACAATCCTGTGAGAAAATTATGTAGGTCACACAGTTGATGTAAGAATTTATATGCATAAAAATGACATTAAATATGGAAACACCTGTAATACGAATTTTCTTCATACGAGATTTTGACCATCAAACTGATTAGAAATCAACAAAAAATGTCATACAAAATAAATAACTACATTAAAAAGATTAATCAAAAATTGCTTAATTAAAGGAATTAATTGAAGTTCAGGGGTCACATAAGTTTGTTGCCCTTTATCCTGCCAGAAAACAAAATGAGACTAAAAATAATGCACAAACATGTTGAAGCTAGTTTCTCTAATATCAAATCTTCTGATAGTTTGTTCCACTGACTGTGTTTTTTTAAATAACTTTTTAACTGCTACACACTATACTGTGTTATTTTTATTTCCATCATTATTACTGGATGGGCAATAACTTACTGTATTTGACTACGTGTTAATTAGATCAGTTATAAGTGATTATTTACACACAATTTCAATAAAAATTTAAATGATTAATAAAATATCCTTGACTTTATATGCAGTTTCAACTAGCTAGCTCTAATATGAATAGGAACTTGCAGGCACTTACACCAGTGTCTTTCCGGTAAGAGAACTAAGAACACACAAAAGTAGGCCAATTGGGTTACTGAGATTATTTATCCACCCAAAGAAAACAACAAACAAAGCGGCAAGATAAAAATACAATTTTCTCTGTCTGTAATGTGAAGCCTATTTACATGTACGTTATTATGAGTAAAACATGTCTAAAGTTGTATCACCAGTTTTTTCATCTATTATTTATTTTACAGGTTACTTACATGGAAGGCTCTTGTACAAAGCTATTTAATAACTGATAATATGGACATAGTTATCTCTTAATTAAAGTGGTTTTTCATAACTTTCAAGCATTTGTTTGTTTGTTTTTTAATTACACACTTCTAGCCTTAAAAAAGCAAAAATGTTAAGTTTGATAATTTTTTTCCTTTTTGGAAATTTTACTATCCTACTAACACATTTATATTTATATAAACTCTGTGCCATCTCAAAAAATTGCTATTTTCTAGATCAGTGGTTGATAGGGCAGTTAAAAAAACTATGGGATATAACATCTATTCAAAGAACCTCTTGAAAACTTATTAGTATATTCTAGTCATAATAAAAACTATTACTGAAAAGTTTGAATAAAATGTATGATGTAAAGTTATTATCCACTAATTTTTCTGTGCAGTTTTTTAGGGGTTGTTAAGTGTAAAGAAGAATACCATTATAATAAACCAAAAATTTAATTAACACTACATGCAATATTGTTGAGTGATACTAATTGTTATCGGTATTAGTACTATTACTACTAATACTAGTCTAGACCATAGTGAATATTAAACATAAGATCTAAAAAATATTATAATATTAGAAATGTATGTACTATTGAAGTTATACTTATAACTAATAACATAAACTTATTGAATACTTAAAACATAAATAATAATATTAACACAATGCGAGTCTGTTAAAAAAGTTATATTAGTTATTACTACTACGAGTTTACATCTTTAAACTTATAACTTAAGGAGTTAGACTCTCACTCACTCTCAGAGTAAAAATTCTAGTAGAAATATAATATGTAACGTTTTTGAAATTTGAAATTTCATTTTCAACTTCAAGCATAAACTAACGTATATGAAGGTACAACAAAAAACAATACAAAATTTTGTGAATTTGATTATATTGCAAAATAATTAAAAGGCTTCATGCTTTATAATGATACCCCACATTCTGGTAACAATTTACAGCACTCTGGACAAGTGCAAACACCTTGTAACGTTAAGCCTAAATAGGAACCAAAAGCTCTCTCCATAGGATACCGGTTCTTTTCGCCGTGAATCGACATATCATCAAAATTATATTAAGCTTCTTCCTAAATACTATTAACATATGCTATATATCAGCACGTGAAAAAGAAATCGGTGGGTAAGAGATATCTGTAATCTTAAATATTACAATACTCTACCTTTAACTTTAAGATGTAAACTAAAATCATGATACATCTGTGAAAAAGTAAAAAACTAAGACACAGTCAAGTTTCAGAAATGCCTACTCTATTTATTAATAATATTACACTTAAAACAGTTAAATAGCAATATCTTACTGCCCTTACCTTGAGTAATGCAATTGCAACTGCAGCATTACCTTCACCCCGGTACTTGCAGTTCGTAAGGGAAATTTCCAATTCATTACGTTCCTTATGGTCTTTCTGACATATGGAATTATATTTTGAAAAATACCCAGCCATAAGAATGCTCTAACACTAGCCTTCATCACAAACCCTCCCTACTTGTAAAGTCAATGATCAATAACATTTCGTTTATGAAATACATCCGTAAATTCAGTGCTGCACCATGTACCGTACAACATTTGACTAGTTGTGATAAGAGGCGTCTGCTACGTTAAGCTCAGAACACATAAGGAAATTAACGTGTAACTTTAAGATGACCAATAATAATTAACATACTCTTCAAGTATGATTGCACAATAAGTTCCGAGTATTGCAATAATTATGCGATATTAAAAGTACTGAAGTAAATTGGAAAATATTAAAATTATGATATGAGCAGCTGTTTCGCTTTTCAAAAACAATTTTTGTGCATTTTTATCGCCTGCCTAAAAGTTAAATATAATTTATATCCAGATATTTCCGTTATTACGTCAGTGAAGTCCTTAAAAGAAAAGAGAAATACTTTATCAGTATATGTTACAAATACCATGCGAAATTCGAAATCAATGCAGCAACTTAACCATATTTTCTAGATATAAGAATAAAAAAAAAATCTGAAAATTTTAAGAATCTGATCTCCAAACCGTCATACTAACAGTCTTTTCTTGTACTTCTGTATTCCACATGCCAGGATTGACAGAAATCTATCGACTTATTAAAACAACTGAACAATCAGCTGTAGATTTACCATACTAAGTAAATAACAAAAAATAAATCTTAATGTCCAAATTACAACAAAGAAAAGTTTAATGCCTGAATTTTACATTTCATTTTTTTTTAAAAGTGTATCTATCATGAAAAAATTCTACGAAATAATAAAACAAATCAAATCAAAATGCATTATGTCAAAATATTGTTCAAAATGGTCTTACTTATATTAAAAAACCTAAACATCGCCTGTCATATTTTAATAAAATATGGGAGAAAATTTGTGTGTGAAATTCTGAAACAAAGTTCTTAAGAGTGTTACTGATTTTAATAGAATTATTTTTAAATTTCTTTTTAAATGTTGCCCCCCCCCCCCAGTGGCACAGCGGCATGTCTGCGGACTTACAACGCTAGAATCCGTGTAGCTTTGTGCTTAATTACAAACAGACAAACAAACAAACTTTTTAAATATTAATTTCTGAAAAGGCTTTTCATAAAGTGATGGGCGCTGATAGCTTGCACTTCTTCATAGCATTGTTTAATAATCTTCACTGATATTGACGAATAGCCTAAATATTAATTAGTCAAAAGACTGAGTACTAAGCAAAATGTTATAAAGTCCATAACAGAAAAAAAAATATATATATATTGTTACGTCTCTGGTCGTTAGTTAATTTCCCGTATAATTTCTTTCCGATGAAACTTTAGCGACACAAGTCCTTTTTTAAATAAAACTAGTTTATTCTTTATGAATACAACTTTGCAATACGCTTAATTTCCACAGTCACGCTATAACAAACGCTATAATTCACAACGAACGACTCACGCACTTGACTCAACTGTCCATATCTATTTCTGTCTGCAATTCAATTACACAATGTGGCCGTCACTTCTTGGCGGCTTCTATACAAGAATACCGCATATCTAGTAAACACTCGAGACTTCAGGAAGGGACATGAACGTTCTAGAAGCTCATGACGTGTTACCAACGTCACGTGACTTCCGCTGTAGTAACACTGCCCCTTCCTTAGTATTGTTTGTCCCGAACAATAGCCACTTACATTAAACCAATAAACAATTAATAATAACTTAATTAAATGTACAGAACTTACAAACACAAAATTAAAATTCAACAAAGTCTCTTAATTTTACGGAACGTATCTTTTTCCGTACTGGTCTCCGTCTCGTTGGCTTCTGCTTCATCAGGAAACGTCCTATCACTGGCAACAGTGGTAGTAACTTCATCAAGGGCTTCAACGTTTCCCTTCTCAAAACCGAGTCGAGTTTCTTCTTCGACAGTGGCTTTTTCAGGTGACACGTCTTCAGCAGCGTCATTTGTTCCATTGTTCACTTTATCCCAACTGAAATGTTCTGGACCGTGATAACGCCAAAGTCTGTTGTCATGCACCACTTTTGGCTTACCTCGCCGACCACATTTTATCCGGAAGGTCACATCTGAGAGACGATCCACTATGTCATATGGACCTTCTCATGGAGAGGACAACTTAGGAGACTTCCCTTTGGTCTTCCTGGGATTATACAACCACACCTTGTCTCCTGGTACAAAGCTGACTTCAATAGATCTCTTATCATAAGATAACTTCATCGAATCAGCAGACGTTTTCAACTTTGAATTCACTTGATGGTGAATATCATCCATCCTTTCCGATAACACTTTCACAAACTCTGACACATTTTCAGGCAACTCTTCGTAAGGTGAGCATCCTGTTAACAGATCCACTGGCAACAGAAGTTCCCGACCAAACATCAACTTTGCTGGAGTGTATTCAGTGGCTTCATGCTCTGCTGTCCTATAGGCCATCAACAGTGGAGGGAGTAAGACATTCCAGTCAACTTGGTGGCTATTACAAAACTTTGCCAATTGCTGTTCCAGTGTCCAGTTGTACGTTTCTACCATCCCATCGGACTGTGGGTGAAGTGGTGTTGTCCTGGTCTATCGGATGCCAAACAACTTGCAGCATTCTTGGAACACAGCTGATTCGAGGTTACGTCCTTGATCTGAATGCAGTTCATATGGCATACCAAATCTAAAGAATAAATCACTAATAGCCGAAGCTATAGTTGTAGCTTCCTGAGTTGGTATTGCATATGCCTCAGGCCACTTGGTGAAATAATCCATCACCACACAAATGTACTTGTTTCCATCACGAGTTTGGGGCAGAGGTCCAGCAATGTCAACGGCTACTCTTTCCATTCGTGCGCCAACTTGATATAACTTCATTGGAGCACGTCCCTTATGCTTGGGTCCCCTTTTAGCGCAACATGTACTGCATGTTCTGCACCATTCTTCCACATCTTGTCTCATACCTATTCAGTAAAATCTCTGTCGTAGGTGACTCAATGTTTTCTTAACTCCGATATGTTCTCCTGTTATACTATCATGGGATTGATGCACCACAACTTTCCCTA